GCCCCATAAACATATTTTTACAAATAAGAAAAATTTAAGGTAATACTATAAATGAAACTATGATAGTTTTATTTTCATTTTCAATTTTACTTCACAGCCACATGTATGTACCCAAAGAGCCACATGTGGCTCGCGAGCCGCAGTTTGCCAACCCCTGGCGGCTCTTTCATCTCAAAAGTTTGCCGACCCCTGCTCTAAATAACTGTGGAAATTTCTGTACCAATGTCTTCCCCTACAGACTGAAAGCAGTGGCCATATCTGCTCTGTCTTCCCAGCCCCTAGCATACCATCCGATTCCCAGAGGTGCTTGAGAATGACTTACTGAGAATGTTGATGAAGTGTCTGAGGTGTCTACTTCCTGTTTCCTACACTTGGTGGTCAGCACCTGGGTTCACGGGCCGTACTTCCTATTTCTTTTGAACCCTCCCGATTCCCACCCCTCAATGTTGCACAGATAGCTGGTGCCCAGCGCAGGTGGACTTGGTATCTTGAGATCACAGAACAGAACGGCCAGAGCTTTATGAGGCTGGTGCCGGCTGACTCCTTCTGTAGCCTCACCTGCAGCAGCTGCTCCTTGTGACTCAGGCTGTGGCTCAGGTGCTGGATGTGTTGCTCCTGGGCTCGAATCTCACTGTATTTTTCAGCCTCCAGGGTGCGAAGCTGTTGACTCTTCCTCTGCAAGTCTCCTTGTAGCTGCTGCAAGGCTTTCCGCAAGTCCTGAATGAAACAGAGTCCCTTTCTTAAGCAGCCTAAAATGTTCATACGGGCATTAGCTATGGAGGACTTCAAACTTTCAAGGCAGATAGAATGAAACATAAAGCAGCAGTAAGTGCAGTTCTTAAAATCACTACAGAAATATTACACAAGAATCAAACAGGGTGTGGGGAACTGCAGGAACTGTGGACGGGGAAGGATGTATCATCATTTTGATAGTAGAGTTCCATCCTAATTTTTTGGTTTAACAATGATAGATCTTTATAACTCCCTAGCAAGACTGTGTCCCACTATGGATTCTTTACTTTACAATAAGCTCAAGGATAGGATATTCCTACCATCCTTTTAAATCTTAAAAAAACCATTAAAAATCACATGATTTTATATCCATCTGGCTAACTGTACGTGCCATTCCTTTGACCTTGGTTGTTCTCCCCCTTTTCCTTCCCATCCTTCCAGAGTAACTTCAGATATGGCCTCCTTCATGATGCTTTCCCTGACTCCCTTCCTCAGCGCCTCCTATATATTCCTATAGGACCCCATAAATACCTCCCCTAGAGTATTTATCACACTGAAATCCTGCTTCTGTGACTGTCTCACATATTAAATTACAAGTAACTTGAGCAGAAAGAGCCCGTGATCTTTACTGTTGTATTTCGGGAACACAGCCCAGTATTCAGCACATGGTCTGAACTGAGTTACTTAGATTAAGCAAATGACTCAAGGGTGCAACACACGCTGTCCTGATAAAAAGTTATCATCAGGGCAAAGTTGGCCTTGAGGGCCACAGAATGATTAATGATTTACCTGGTTATGTTTCCATGACGCCTCTTTCTGCTGTTCTCCCTCCTGGGCTGCGGCCTCGACAAACTGCGCGCATCGTTTGGCATCCGCCAGCTGGCGTTCTTTCTGCCGGACCAGCCTCTGGAGCTTCTGTATTTCCAGCTGGCTGCAGAATAAAGCACTCTGGAGGTCAAGCAGGGCCACCTGTTGCTGAGCTGGGGACGTTCCCTCGGAGCTCTGAAAAGAGGGGGAGATCATAATCATAAAGAGGGCAAGCGCGGAGCAGCTAAGACTGTGACTGCGAGTGGCACGTCGTCAGCTAGGGTCTCGCCTAGGTGACCCTCACATACGTGAAGCTGTCCGAGCTGGCTCTGGTGCAGCATTTCTCGAAGCTTTGCCATTGTGTCGTTTTGACCTTCGATCACCTNAAAAAAAAAAAAAGTACCAGGGGAAGGTGTCAGCCCCACGGTCCCAAGGCGCAGGGTTGGAAACACTACCGCCTGCATTTCTGAGTCCTCACAAAGCTATCGGAAGGGAGAATTAGGATGCAGTTTTTCTGGGCCAAATTGCATACCCAGAGCAATACCCTCCATTCAACATAAGGTAAGAGCAGGTCTTCCTAGAATAGACATGTCTTCATCCTTTCACGGGGGATCCAAATTTATTTTTTCCATCAAGGTAGGAAGGGAAGAGTCTGGGCCAAACCTGTTATTAGAGAATTACAGGAAGGACAGACAGAGGTTCCTTAATGAAATGAAATGTGATACTCACCTAAGGATGACCTGGGTATGCTGGTACCCCCTTTGGCAGTCAATGAATTGCTATCATCTCTGGAGGGGATATGCATGGAACCCTAAAAATTGGAAGAGTTGGGGGATTTAGGAAGATGCAGAAACCATGATCACAATGACAAGGACTTGGAATGTTCTCACATAACTCGGTATTAAAATGATCAAACTTATAATGCCTTAAACAGAAAAAGAAAATGCAGTTGGCATGAATAGCTACATGAGTCTATAGCTCTTACTTGATCAGTCTGCTCTCCAAGATGGGGGCTGATGGAGGTAACTTCAGCTGGTTGGTTAGAGATGAGTGCTTGGGACACCACGGCGTCTTTCCCTCCTAAATATTGGCGCAGGGCCTGTAATTCTGAATTTCTTTCCATTAGTGCTTGTACCATCTTCTCTGCAGCAGCCTAGTGAGGAAATCACACATCACGTTAAGAACATACTCTAAGAAAACAAAATTTGTGTTCTGATGCTATTTGTGAAAAGCTGACTGTTTATGAAGCCAGTGAGACCCTAAAAAATAGTTTCCTTGCTTTCAGTTTATAGGGAAAAACATAGTTGATAAGTGGAAAGAAAGTCTCTCAGAGGCAGGAGATTGGAAAAACAGAATATAATGAATCTATGAAAGATAAAATAATCTGAAATGGGTTCTGTTAGCACACTGTCAGACTAAGGTGTTACGAATCTGGTTTGAGTTAACAGATGTCTTTCTTTGGGCTGGGATCCATGTGCTATATAACAGCTGCTTAGAATTATGACATTAGGTCTATGAAGTTAGTTGTGGACACAGGGAACAAGAGAGATTTGAGAATAATCAGTAATGTCTACTGAGTACTCGGCAGAGGCAATGCATTGTACTGGGTACTTAAATTAGCACTAATACTCACAACTCTATGCAGAGTGTGTGGTATGGGCCCTATTTTACAGAAAGAAGATGAAACACTGATTTTTTAAAAACATGGAGGTGGGGAACAGTCATATCACTGAGAAGTGCCAAAGCTAAGATTTAAACTCAGGTCTTTTGTGACTCAGAATGCTTTCCAAGAAGTCATTTCCTGAAACAGATAGTTTTCCCCGTCCTTATGCTCTGTTTCTAGCAATAGAGTTTTCATCAGTTTTCTTAGAAGAGGCCTCTCAGCCTTCCAGAATCTCTTCCCCTTCTGCCTCCCTGTGCAGCTAGTTGTACGTTCAGCTACNATTTCTCCTCACCAGAAAAAGCACAAGTATTTTATTAGATCAAAGTTCACTAATAATCATGATAATAACCACAGCTGTTCACACTTACGGGGTACTTACTATGTCCCAGGCACTGTAATGAATGCTTTGGATCTATTTAATCCTTTTAAGAAACGCAGTGACCTGGCTCCTGCCTGCGTCTCCAACTTCAACACACACATTTTACTCCTCAGCCACGATTCTCTACGCACCCGGGACTTTTTCTGTTCTAGCGGTATCAGACTTTCTCTTGACTCAGGGCCTTTGCACCGACTCTTCCCTCTGCCTCAACTATCTTCCCTAAAGTCTCAAGCTATCTGCTATTACTTTGGTTTATTTCTCAGTTTGTTCAGATCTTGGGTTTGGAAAAAGGGGTGCTATTGATCAGGCCCTCTTCAGAGGCCTCTATCATTCTGTATCTGGATATTTGCTCCACTGAAGAAAAACGAAAACATGGGGAAGAAGCATCATTGAAGGTGATGAAGGTCTGCGGTCAGATGCACATGGGTTTTAAATCGTGACAAAATCTCCCCTACAAGGCATTTAAACTGAGCTTCAGTTTCCTCAAGTGAAAAATGGGACTAATATCTACTTTTTCAGGGCTATGTGAGAATAGAGAAAACGTATTTAAAGTGCCTGGCACACGGCAGGCAGCCAATGAATGAGCTACTGTTACTACTACTACTACTACTACTACTACTACTACTATTATTTCCAGAGAGTAGGAAGAACGTTTAAAAACTTGGGAAACTCTACATGGCTTCAGGTAAGTACCTAAAATCGGAGGGAATGTATTAGGTTATTGGAAAAGTCATGATGTATTTTTCTATGTTTTTCGTTGCTAAAATGCGTCATGACTTTTCCGACAACCCAATAATAATGACTCTAATGGCATTGAACTGAGAAGTTGGTCGCTGATTAAGGACACGTGAAAGTAAGCAACGTAGCTAAATAGAATTCATTCAAAACATGAGTCCATTTAGAGTGATTATGATTTTATAACCCTGAGCACAGGGCCAAACCAAAGAGTAACATTCCTTTCCATTGAGTATATATGAGAAAAACAGGAACAGCTTGTGAAAACTAAAATATCTCACATGAATAAGCAGATAATGGCTAGGGTAGAACCAGGGGAGGAAAAAGAGGTAGTGGGGGAACTAGGGAATTTTTAAAACTGGTATTTTTTAAAATGCCACACAATTTCATATCCTCAAAGCTTTAGTCATGTAACATGAGTCTGTTAGTAAGGACATACAAGGTATGAAAAGAGAAATGAAGAGATATGTAAGATAATTTCATCACACATCTGAACACGGCTTTGATATTATATATCTAACTCTGGCCAAGAGGTGGAACAAAACTGAGGAGCTACACTGAGGAGCCAACTAAACTTTAAAATTTAGGGACCCATGACACTGACTGGTCTTCTAACACAGTCTGTAATTCTGTGCCGTGGCCCTCATATTTCTTCTGCATCGTAGCTGAACGTACAACTAGCTGCACAGGGAGGCAGAAAGGGAAGAGATTCTGGAAGGCTGAGAGGCCTCTTCTAAGAAAACTGATGAAAACTCTATTGCTAGAAACAGAGCATAAGGACGGGGAAAACGATCTGTTTCAGGAAATGACTTCTTAGAAAGCAGTCTGAATCACAACAGACCTGAGTTTAAATCTTAGCTTTGGCATTTCTCAGTGATATGACTATTCCCCACCTCCATGTTTTTAAGAAATCAGTGTTTCAGCTTCTTCATCTATAAAACAGAGTCCATACCACTTACTCTGCATGGAGTTTTAAGTATTGGTGCTAATTTAAGTACCCAATACAATGCACGGCATCTAGCGAGTACTCAGTAAACATTACTGATTATTCTCAAATCTCTCTTGTTCCCTGTTTCCACGACTACATAAATGTAATGTCATAATTCCAAGCAGCAGTTATATAGCTCTTCATTTATCACAAGTATTTTACAATCATTTATTCCAGTTAGCAAAGGGCAGAGAAAGCTGTTATTTCAATACTTAAAAACTTTTAACAGTCCCCATTTATAAAAACAAGAGCATTTCAGAGGGATAACATGTAGATAAAGTGATTTATGTTTTGCTCCAGAAAGAAAAAAAAAATTAGCGTACCTTGTATTTGGACCTAGATATTATACTTGTAGAACTGTACTCTTAAATATAAACTATTTTGAAAGAAGAAATAGGAATTTAGAAATTAGGCTTGACTAGAAAACTCACCCGACTTTCTCTTTCTTTTTTAGCCATTAGTTCAAGCTCCTCTTTGGCATTGCTCAGTTCTTTTTCCAGCTCTGCAACTGCGTCCAAGTCTCCTATTTTTCAAAGATGAAAAATAGCTACTTTTAATCACTGTGAACATAATGTGATCTCTGCTTCCTCATTTCTGAGGAATTGACTCTGAAGACACATTCCAACAATAAATATGCACAGGTTGTTCTTTGCAGCATTATTTGTAAAAGCAAAACACTGCAGGCAACCTACACACCTATAAAAAGAGAACTGAATAAACAGTATATCCACATAAAGGTTAAATTTCCTATGTGATAATCATATTGTAGTTATGTAGGAGAATGCCCTTGTTCTCAGGAAATACATAATGAAATATTTAGGGATGAAGTATCATGATGTCTACAATCTTCAAAT